GCCTACCCGCTCTCCGACGGACTAGCCCGCCGCCTCCCTCACTGCGGTTCACTGCAAGGATCCCCCAGGGCCCCGAGCTCCTCTGCAGAGGCCAGAGCCTGGGCCCCGGAAACTCCGGGGTTGCTGAGTTTCGGCTTCCGTCTGCCCCGCCCCCGGATGCGTGACGGCTCGGCGCGGCTGTGACGTCACCGCGCGGCGGCCCGAGGACCCCGGCGTGCGTCCGGGTCGGGAGCCGGGCCGGGCGAGCTCAGTGCCCTCTGGTGCCCGCTTCGGGAAAGGCCGTGAGTGCAAATCCCTGCGTGGGGTCGGGACTCCGGGAGTGTTTATTCGGGCTCCACAGTAGTTCACTATCCAGCAGATCTGTCTCTGGCGCCTCTCCTGCTGAGCGTCTCCTCTGTCAGGCGACAGGGCTCGCTCGCGGTGACTCCGTGGCCCTCAGCCCCCAGTCCGTGCATTGGCTCGTTGAGTCCCGGCCGTGCCCCTGGTACGGATGTGCTAGGTCCTGGGCGCTCCGTGAACAACCGTGACGCAGGGCTTCTGTTCTCATGAAACGTGGGGCTTGTATTTAAAAGGAGCAGCTCATATTGATCAAGGGTGGGCTGATTCAGTTACAGGCACTTTGCGAAAAACTTTACACGCTATCTCATGGAAAGCTTGACGTATGTTATTTCATGGAACAACCCTAAGGTGGTGATCATGATCAGACCCATTTTACACAGGTGGAGACTGAGGCACACGAGGCTAAGTTACTTGCCCCAGATCACACAGTGGTAAGCGGTGGTGCAGGCCGCGCTGCACCGCGTCACCGTGATCCTGTGGTACATGGCAAGAGGCTGGGCTCCCAAATCTTGAGTGTAAGCCCAGTGAGGATGGGACCTTGTCTGCCTTGGCTTACTGCTGCATTCCAGTGCTTGGCACTCACCACCTAGTTGCTGAATGCGGTAGTTTATAACTGGGGGTGCTGATTTTGCCTCCATTGGGGACAGTTGCCTTGCACAGCTGAGCCTGAGCCAGGTGGCACCTTCTGTCTCATTTATTTTCTCAAAACCCCACTGTCTGCTGTTTCCTGAAGCTTTAGTCTTTGGCTGTGGCCATGTTCTCCAGTCCTGCCTGCAGCTTCTGCTCCCCTTCCTTTCCCCCTCAGAGAGGAGACAGGACTCCTTCCAGATTCAGGGAGCGGTAGAGGAAATCAACACAGACCCAGAGACAGCGGCATATTCTTCCTCAGAAGAGCTTGGGTTTCGGAAGCTGCCCAAATTCACTTCAGATCCATCCTTTGCCACTTACTCAGCTTCCTCACCTGTCACACAGAGAGGTCAGTAGTATCTCCCTCAGAGTTTTGAGGAATAAATAGTTGTTGTAAAGTGTCTGGCACCCAGGAAACACTCTGGAATGGGAGAGAGTTCCCTAAACTAGCTGCCTGGCAAACCCGTCATGCCAGGCTGCAGCCCGGAAAACCCAGAGCAGCTTATGTATTTTGGACTTCAAAGAACTTGGATAATTTTGACTGTCTTGCAACAAACCCTGAAAATGAAGGGCCTTCCAAACTGCCTGAATTCTCTCAGTGCTGTTGGAGTTTGGGATAAGAGGGATAGCTTTGAATGATAAATAGTAGTCAGGTGACTTGTTTTTCAATTAAATTTTATTTATTTTTTGAATAGATACTTTAGGCTTACAGCATACATTTCAAATGGTATAAAGAGATAAGCAATGAAGAGTAAGTCTCCCACACCTTCCTCTTGAGCAACCACTGGTGTAAGTTTCTTGTGTCCCCCAGTAATATGGTAGGGGGAGGCTTTCCCTTCTTAATGATATCTCTTAACATTACTCCAAATTAAAATACACAAGGCTGGCTCAGTCTTTATAAAAGCTGCCCAGCATTACATTGGGTGGAGTCAGTTGCCCATTCAGAGACAACAGACCAAGACCTCAAGTCGTGCAGGTGGGGCATGCGCATAGGAACCAAAGTTTCCCCCTACACACACACTCACATACACACATGGAACCAAAGGGCCTGGACATAGACACCAGAACCCTTTCAGAAACCAAGGGTCTGTTGTCCAGGGAATCCAGTGTTGACACCCCTTTACCATAAATGGCCAAGTTCCAAGGTTCTCCAGTTAAAATTTGCCCCGCCAGTGCTTTTGCACACCTGTACCCCCCAATCCCTTAAAAACCCTTAACTAAGTCCAGTGAGCAAGATGAATTTGAGGCATATTAGGTGTCCCATCTTCCTGATCAACAAACCTTTCTTTATTCCAGACTGACATTTTGAGTTTTGGCCTTTCGAAGCATCGGGCACACAAACTTTGGTCCAGGAAAACTTTGAGGCAACCTTGAACATTATCACCAAACAGGAAGCTTTGACAAGCAAGCCGTTTTTCCAGGTCCCTAGAAGCCAAGCCTGAGATAAGAATCCCCATGGAAGTGATGGGGGGGGGAGGGCAGCTCTCCTTAGAAACCCATGAGGGAGGAGGGAAGCAGGATGGGGCAGGGGAAGAAGTTAAGCAAAGATGTGGGTTCAGCTGAAGTCTAGTTTCAGCCTGTTCTCATGGGAGCCCTGGAGCATAAATGATAGGAGAAAGCTTCCAGCCTTGGAGGTGAGGGGCCCAAGCCTTCATGCTCCCCTCAGTCAGTCATTGACTGCCAGCTGTAGGGCTGCCAGATTTAGCAAGAAAAAAAAATACAGGTTGCCCAGTTAAATTTGAGTTTCAGATAAACAATGAATAGGATATCCTTATACTAAAAAAGTATTCGTTGATCTGTAATTAAATTTAGCTGGGCATCCTGTATTTTATCTGGCAACCGTAGGAGGTGAGAGGAAGAGAATGAGGCATAAAATCTCAGGATCTCCAGTCATCTGAGGGCGGTTCTTTGGGGGAAGGCAGCAGCTGTGACCCTTTGCAGCCAACACTGCAGCAAGTGGGGGCTGGGTGCAGCAGTCAATAAAGGGGACCAGGGAAGGATATCGACAGCTCCCACTGCCAACAGGGACTGAGGGCAGCTCACCAGTTAATGGTAAAATAGACCAGAAGTACCTGCCCAGGCTGGTAAGTCCAAACCATCCCCACCAGCCAGGGGAGCAGCAGGATGCCCTGGCCCTCTCCGCCTCCCTGGCTGCCCTCGGAGGATGTTTTTACTCCTGCAAAGTCATTCCCCTGCTTGTGTTGGGGCTGGAGCTGGAGCCAGAGCCAGGCTATTTAACTTCAACTCATCCAGCACTTCTGAAATGTATTTAAACAATTGAGGAGCCTTTCCTTAGAAACCTCTTCCTTAAAAAGGCCCCAGGACCCCAGGAAGGGAGACTTTGAGGAGAGGATAACCACCTGTACACTTAAGCAGCCTGTTTCTGGAGGGGTCTAAGATCCTTTCTTAAAATTCAGAGATTCTCTCCTAGGGATTCAGTGGGTTCCCTACAAAGAGATCCACACCCCACGCCCTCACTTTCCCTGTAGGACTCTGCATCCCCATTACAGGAACCTGTGGGATCTGTGGGTTCTGACCTACAAGAGCCCCAAGATACAGTAGCAAGTGAAAAGGGTAAGCAATGGGTGGGGTGAGCAACAGTAATGTCCAACATAACCTCATTTATGTTAAAAAACAAACAACAATAGAAAACCTTGCCCAGTGTGGCTTAGTTGGTTGGGCTTCATCCTGTGCACTGAAAGATTGTCAGTTCGATTCCCAATCAGGGCACATGCCCGGGTTGTGGGCTTGATCCCCAGTAGGGGATGTGCAGGAGGCAGCTGATCGCATTGATGTTTCTTTCCCTCTCCCTTTCTCTCTAAAACATAAAAAAAAAAAGACTTAAAAAACACACACATAAACCAACAATTTATTCATATGTATGTGTGCACTAGTAGTAGGAGTCCCAGGGGAGTGATGGGGGAAGGGTGGGGTTGTTTGGAATGAGGAGGAGATGCTCACATTTTTTCAGCATTTATTTTAATATTTTAATGTGACAGCATCACTTTTATAAAAGTTAAATAAAAATCAGCACTTGTTCCTTACGGTCACAAGAGGGAGCTGTGTACCACACCCATCTGCAGACCTTCTACTTTGAAAGAACAGACTCTTTTTCAAGATTTTATCTTAGCCCTAGCCAGTTTGGTTCACTGGTTAAGAGCATCAGCCCACCTCCTAAAGGGTCCCAGGTTCGATTACAGCCAAGGGTACATAACTCAGTTGCAGGCTTGATCCCCAGCTCTGGTCGGGGTGCATGTCCTGGTCGGGTAGCTCAGTTGGATAGAACATAGTCCTGATATGCCAGTGTTGCAGGTTTGATCTCCCATCAGGGCACATATAAGAAGTAACCAATGAATGCATAAATAAGTGGAACAACAAATCATTTCTCTCTCTCTCTCTCTCTCTCAATCAATAAATTAAAAAAAAAAAAAAAAGTCACCTCCGTGGATGAAAAAGAGAAAGTAACCTCACAAGGTGATCTGATCATAAATTTCTAACTGGGCAGGTCATGCTGGGTAGTTATGCCACAGGCCTATAACTTCTTTAGAGAAAAGTTTTTAAGCAAGCCCTGTTCTTATGCATCTGGGTTAACATACCTTTGAAATGCCAGAAGTAATACCCGTCGAAGGCATAACCACCCTCAAGAGAGCACATAAACTTGT